GGAAGGAAGGAAGGAAGGAAGGAAGGAAGAAAGGAAGGAAGGAAGGAAGGAAGGAAGGAAGGAAGGAAGGAAGGAAGGAAGGAAGGAAGGAAGGAAGTCGTCATTACCTATGTCCATATGGATGTCAGGGAAGCCTCTACAATAGCAAACTATTTCAGAGGATGTGTTATCCTGTTAAAAGTGGGTTCACTTTTCTTTGAAATTAACCCATCTTGTAGAGTAAGGCAGGTAATGTCCTCATACCTTACACAGGAGCGTTGAAGGCAAGTGAGCAACCTGAAGTCCTCAGACTTGTTTCATGCTACCCATGGCCTAGTATCACAAGCCTCTGCAAAAAATCCATTTAGTTTTTTGTCAAGAATGGGCTTCCCATCCTCCAGTATTTTCTGGAGAAGAAAAGAAGGAAGGAGAAGAACAGAGAGAAGTAGCAGAAAGAGAGAAAGAAGGATCAGTGTCTCCATTCACTATTGTTTCTAGTGCCACCTACAACTGTTGTGTGGCCCCTGAGAAATGACTACAAAGCAAATGTGCCTTTTAACATAAAAAGAAAAGGCATTGCTGGTTTAAGAAATAATTATCCCAACCCAAACATATAAAATCACACTGTTTGAGTTGGGTGGCCTTATAAATCTTAAAAATAAATAAAGTAAGTAAGCAAGTAAAATATGTTATAGCAGCATTGTGCTGATTTATTTCACACCTCCCCCCCCCCTTGTAATCACTTGCAGTCTCCCATAGAAATGGGAGGGTTGTGCTTGAGTCTATAATATATCACTCATCAGTATATTTTCTTTTCTATTGATTAAGAACAGAAGAGTGGGATAATAACTATCCAGTTCTTCACATTTAATGGATTCCATGAGATTGGATATTTGATTTTAACTCTTTCATCATGCAAAAATGTATTTATATAACATGCATGTTTTGTTACTGTATATGCATATACAAGTATATTTTTCTATGTACCAAAGATAAAGAAAATATTGGAACAATCCCAAGATTTTCTTAGTTATCTGAATTTTTAAAGGAACAAATGTGCGTTGAAAAAATGTTTGAGGATCTGTAAAATAGTTAAATTTCTGTTATTTATGACTCAGTATCTTGGCACAGTCTGATTCATGGTTTAGTTTTCTATTAGTGACCAGAGGCTACTGACTGTCTGCATTAGCTAAAGATTACTCAGGCAGTAAAATGGAAGAAACTGCTCTATCTGTAAAATCAAGCAATGAAAAAAAGTTTGGTGCTGCTCTTAGTTGATGATTGTTACATTGCCTCGTTTCTTTGCTTGAACAACTTTAAAAAGGTCTGTTTGAACCTGTTTTAACCAAGCTTGAGTGCACAGTGTGAACCTTTGACATTTCTGGGTACATCCAGGCCAAAATTTAAAATGTGTACAGTCTTAAGACATGAGTTTATGATCTGTTTCTGGGTCATTCCAAGACAAACACTGATGCACTGTTCTAGATTGGTCTGCTTTGGGCTGCATTCTGGTCACCAATAACCATTTAACCTCTTATGACAGAAGTAAGGGGATGGCATTTTAGAACTTGCTGTGCAGTACTTTCCAATGGTGGATTCCCAGATATTGTTGAATTACAAATCATATTATTTTTTATCATTAGTTATCCTGTCTAGCAAAACTGGGGGAGGTGGGGGACATGTATGCATTTGGAAATCCTGTGTTAGGAAGAACTGGAGGACATGGGCAGCTTGGCAGATAGACGGATAGACAGACAGATAGATAGATTTTAAGCAGACATTATTTGTTCAACGGTGTTACAAGCTGCCTTGGAGTTATTTGACTGAAAGGTAGAGCATAAAATAAGTATGCAGAATTAGAACTGAAAATTTAAGTTGTAGAACAATGCAACTTCAAAATGCAATGTTGTTGTTATGATCATTATGATCATTTTGGGTGCTTCCCAAAAAGAAATGCTATATGCATGAAGAATATTACTGCATCAGGGAAACACGAATTACATTTTTTCGTAATGTGCTATCTTACTAGGTGGATGGATATTTTTAAAATACAGAGTATAAACAAGAAGGCGTTGCTTCTCATTTGCATAATGAATGGCTAAATTGAGAATTCTGTGACCAGAATATGCATTATATACACATTATAGAGGATAATTTGCATTATCCTCTATAATGTGTAGCATGATTCTTAAAATTTGTCAAGGCACATCAATATATGCTAAATGGATGGAATTAACCCATGATACACACAAATGTTTCCATGCACATACCTAGTTATCAGACCAAATAAGACCTATTTATTGAGAAAAGTAAAGACAACAACTGCTACTTAGGTTACCTCATATTAACCCACCATTATAGTGTAACCACTGAAATTACTTAAGAAGCCTTTGTGCCTTTAATAAGTATATTGTAAAGAATAACAGTAATCTTAATTTTTTAAAACTGGAATAGGAGAAATGTAAGCATGTGCTAACCCTGCTTTATAAGTGAAAGGGAATAAAAATAACGTATGTACTATAATGCTTATCTGGGATCACTTTTTCTCAACCAGATGCTTTCCAGGCATAAACACCTGTGGGAACAGGGGGAGGGAGTGCAAGTGATGAAACATGCATCATGACAATACAACATAAGACTCATATTTGTGTACAATATGAGAATGAAATTATGGAAGAGTGGAGATTATCATGACATCATTTATGCTTCCAGAAGTGCTGTGACTACAGCAGCTATGCTGATTGGAAATTCTGCAAGTTGTAGACCTGTAGTAACCTCAAGTTACTTGATTGGGAAAAGTTTACAGGAAAACATAGGATTCTCAAATGTTATTTCCCAGTTTGTTACAGCAGATGGTTTGAATCACAAACTCATTTGACATTAAAATTAAGCTAAAGATTAAGTGTCAATAGATGAAATTAATCCCAATTAACTGAAAAAAATCATATTAGTTAAATATGATATATATTTAAATATGGCATGTATCTTCATGTTTCTCATATTAAGTATTTTACGTTTTGGATCTAGAACAAAATGGAAAACATTAATTTACCTCTAAATTGGTTTAAGCATAAGTTTTACACAAGGATAAATAACTCAAAGGTTAAAAAAAGTTGAAATGCATTAATAACGTTTACAACTTAGATTTCATATTTCATAAGCATTGGCATGAAATTAAAATACCCACATTTTCCAAGTAAAATTTTGCCCTTATTACAGCTAGCACAGAAACCTTGCAGAAAATTTGCTTATTCACCTAATTAATAAAGCTTTCTTATCTAGTTAAGAAATACATCCATTAAAGTTTATTCTCTATTTAAGAAAAGAAAAAATGCGCATGAAAAAATGAAATATCTCTTCACAAATCAGTGTCACATTAAATTGTTGTATATGTCACCACTTTCCAGAGACATCTCCAAGATCAATTACATCTCATCTCTATGAAATAATGTGTTTTGTTTTTTATTTTCCCATCAAGAACTACATACCTTTACTTCTCTTTCACAACCTGAACCTCATCAGCAGTCAGAAGGCTTTCCTTTCCAGAATTGTTTACGTAAACTTCAAAAGATTTTTTTTTAAAATCCTTAGTTAAAGCAAGCCTTAATTTGACAGCTTTGCATTTCTATGTAAATTGTTTTCACTATCAATAAGGAACTCTGCATTCCTCTTCATAATTACCTCTTACCTGTAAAGCAGCAAGGTTCAAATTCCTTTCTTGAATTTACTTTCATGACAAGCCTGATAGTCCTTCATTGAAAGTGGATCTAGCCTTCAGGTAATGTATATACGAAGGCTTTCAAAAGCCCTCCTTTTTCTCCACTACCCACCCTAACTCGCTTTGCATTCACTGTCAGTCAAAAACAAGTTGGTAAGAATCAGAGTTGGAATTACCTGAATGAGGAAACCAGAGGGAGGGGAGGAATCTGAGAGGAGACTTTGTGATGTCAGCAGTATGTCTTAAGGAAACCTACAGCAAAGACCAGGAAATGGTAGAATTCCTTTAGAATTCAACACCCTGCTATGAGTTTAGCAAATACCTGCTTCAGAAGAAACTGATGTATTATTAGAGGATATCTGTTAATCTTTGAAGAAATTTGATCAAAGTCCCTTCAAGGATCTTATTGCCCAAATAAACAGGGTAAAATGCTTTAAATAAATCTTAACATTCCTCTTGAGAAAGAGAATAATAATGAATACTGAATTCCCCTTTCCTTACAAGAAGGTTAAGATGATTCTGAAACAAGTAATATTGAAAATCTAGAGGTAATGGACTAACCTTGTTATAATCATGTAGAGCAGCTGATATGCCAAGATATCAGTGGTTCTCAGCTGATTACTGGCACCATTGTTTCCAGCTCAGTTCTCATGTTTGGCATTTCCTCTGTTATTTACAAGACATCAAAATTAAACATTGGAAAAAAGTACAGAGAAAAAAAAAAGTCATATTTTGCCCCACCTAATGGTTCCAGTAACTTTTATGCACTTTGGATTTTGAGGGGTTTTCCAGAAACATATCAGTATAGTAAACTATAGAGCAAAAGGAAAGGAACATTTTGCTCAAAAGGATCTCTCTGCTGACTGGAATCCTGGTCAGTGACACCTTTCCTCTCGTATATTAATTCTATATCAAATTGTTTTCTGTTTATAAAATTGTGCCGTTTTTCAGCTTTAAGGCTTAACAAGGTGAAAAATAAACTGAGAAAGGATATATCACAAGCATGATCACTAAGGGCAACACGGCGGGGGAGGGGGGCAGGAGAGCAGCTTGAAAGCTAAGCAAAATAAATAGGACTTAACAGCCTTTCTCAAACTGATGCCCTCCAGATGTATAAAACAACAACTCCCACAACATATGTTAGTTTCCCAACTGTATGTTACTTGAACTGGTAAAACTAAGTCCAGTTTCTTTTGATTGACCAGGAATAATCATAACTTGCATAGTACTGAGCATTCGGGGAGGTTTAAAATCTTATGTGAGAAAAATCTCTGCAAAGAAAAAAAATATATCCCTTCTTTCCAGAACTGCAACAGCAAGGAGGCATGAATAGTATCATTAGTATGCATCCATAGGAACCTGGAGGTCTGGGCTACTGCTGTTTTTATGGTGAAATACACCAATTGTGCCAAAACATCCAGCTGCCTTAAATTTATAAAGATATAAGCATATTGTACCTCCCTCCCCCACCCCACCACTCATTTTGTCAGACTCAGAAGTATTAATATCACTCGTCCATGTTCCTCATCCATTCTCTGAACAGGCTGAGGACTGGATTTAGTCTTTGTAAGAGCAAGAGGTCTACAAAGTAAACCATTCTTTAAAAAGATACAACAAACACAAGCCAGGGTTTCCCTCGCTACTGTTTCAAGATTTTATAATGCATCTGTGGCTAATCAATTTTAATATATAATAATGAAAAAGACAAGGGAATATTCTGAATATTATAAGTTGATGATTTAAATGAAGGAAGAAATTACTTTGGAAAAAGACACAAATGGAATAAGTTATTTGGCCAGAAAGAAGGGATTCAACATATTGGCTATAGGAATTGTAAAATTCCTCAAGGATTGATGGGGTTTGATCTGGTATAGGTCTGATTTGTTCTTTAGATGAGAAACCTGGGTAATAGATTCTGGAGTCAATGTGGCAATTAGAACATTCATAATCAATTGCAATGTAAAGAAAAGTCTGCAAGCGTAAAGAAAGAGTTGATGGCTAGTGTGGGTCTTCCGGGCTGTGTGGCTGTGTTCTGGAAGTTTTGTGAAAGCCTTCGACAATACAAAGAGTTGATGCTTTAAAAGAAATACTTTAAAATATATATACTGTATGTATGTCACCGATAGGAAAAATGGGTGTGTGGGATTGGGGTAGAACAGCTTTAAGTGAAACTATTTACAGTAATATTGAATTTCTTCCAATCAGCATTACCTGGAATTTTGATTCTAGATTAACATCCTCCATGATGTGATGCTATGACATTGTGCATTTATTTTTCCTCTCCAGCACCAAGCTTACTAGTGGCAGCCATCGATGTAGTGTGGTAGCAACATCAGATCATGGAATGCAAAAGGAAAAAGCAGCCTTACTCGTCAGAAGCTGCACCATAAGAAAACTTTTGGCACAGGATGCAGCTATCCACTTGCTGACCAACACTATTGGTTCACCAGAAAAACTCCTGTGGAGCTCCACTGGTTTCCAGTATAGTTCTGCATCTAATTTCAGGTACTGGGAATATTCCATAAATCCTTTTATGTCTTGGTTCCTTGTTATCTTCAGGGCCTCTGACCAACCTACATGGCCTCGCTGAAGGTGGAGGCTGCAGTTGCCGATTTCTAGAGAGATCAGGAGGAATGGAAAAGGTCATGGTCAATGGCATCCCCTAACTTTGGAACAGCTTTGCTCCCTAAAGTTGTCTTTTAGGAAAGTGGAAAATAAAGCCTTCTTCCTTAGGTCATTCAGTAATTAACAGTTTAATTAAAGATTGTTTTAATGTTGGATTGATTTTTAATGGATGTTTTAATGTATACATATTGCATGCTGCCCGGTGTAGGTGCATTACAAATATTTGGGATACATACATTCATTAAATAAACTTAGCCACATATTTTGGCTGATCTTTCAAAGCTAGGTATTTTTCATTTGGGTTTTTGGTTTTTTTTAATATATGTATCTTGCCCACACATCGGAAAAAAATATCATACTAGAAGACTGGAATGCTGAGTTTGAAATAAAAGAACATCTGAAATAACAGGAAAATTTGGCTTTGATGTCCAAAACAAAGGAAGAGACAGACTAATATAGAATTCTGCCAAGAAAATTCAATGTTTATAGCAAATACCTTCTTCTAACAATCTAAAAAAAAATTACATATGGACATTGCTGGATAGAAAATACTGAAATCAAAGTGAGAAAACTCTTAGTCATTAACTTCTAGCAAAAACTACAAATAAAATCATCAGACCAACAAAATATGACTTCAGCAATATTTCATATGATTAGGCAGTGAAAGTAAAGAATAGATTAAATGGATTTGATTCAATAAACAGAGAGTTCAAAGAAGTCTGGGGTAAAATTTGAACATCATTAAAGAAGATGCAAACAAAAATATCCCCAAATGCAAAAAGCAGAAGGCGGCAAAATGGCTATCTACTGACACATTGATAATAGATGAAGAAAGGCAGAAAAGATATAGCAACAGAGACAAAGAAAACTGTGCCCAACTAAACACTGAATTCCAGAAAAGAACAAGACATCTAAACAAGCAATGCAAAGAAGTTAAGGAAAACACTGAATGGGACAGACCAGAGATTTATTCAAGAAAATTTATTTATTTATTTATTTATTTATTTATTGGACTTGTCCCCGCCCATCTCCCCACAATG